GGGTAACATGGAGGTTGGCGCAAACCTGGGTAAGAGAAAGAGGACACTTTCCTTGAACACTGTGCTCAATCCAGGCCTTTTAAGAAGTCTGAATAGTCCCATCCATCCCTACATCTTTGACTAGATTTGCATACTTTTCTCACCCCATCTTTTTTTTTTTTAACTTTAACCTTATATTTTCTTCTGATAATGGATTTAAAGAGTTTTAGTAACCTTTCAATCTGTTTTTCTGGGTAGAATATTGGATAATTAAGAAGCATGGGTGGTTAAATTTAAACCAGCAGATTCCTTGCCTTGCCTTCCTAAAGAGGAAAAGCATAGACGCACACCATGAAATCACCCCATCAGATAAATCACCTGCTGCTGACCGTCAGCTGCCTGCTTCGCTGGCACTCTCGTTCACTGAAAGCTTCCACTGTCTTCTTCAGGATTGCTGCTGTGACTTCAGCTCCTGCGTGAATGGCCCAGCCGTGACCTGGCCTCTCGGGACCTTGTCCTCCTCACGTTGAGCCAGCCTTGACCTCTCCCTCTCATCAGCACTAGTAAATGTATCCCTTCAAAATCGTGACCTCGAGGTTTCCACTCTGGCCAGCACCTTCTGTCCTTACAGCTCTTCCACAGGTCTTCAACCCCATTGATACTTGAGTCTCCCCACCTTACCCCCATGTATAATCTACCTTATATGCCCGCTTCTCTCCTTCCCGCACTGACTTTTACAGCCCCAAACTGTAGTCACTTCCTGCCTCTCCCTCCAAACTCTGCACATTTTTATTCAGCCCTGCCATCTCACCTGCTAAAATCCCAACTCTAATCAGAACTGTCTGCCTCACTGTTTCGTGTGTGCAGTGCAACAGTTCTGTGTTACGACAGAAAATCCAGCAATTCTGGTGTTCTCACCATTGGTTTGAAATCAGTGGTTCTCACCTGGGAGCTGTTTTGTATTCACCGTCCCCGCAAAGCGCATTGGGCAACGTCTGGAGATGGTTGTGGTTGGCACAGCTAAGCGAGCACCACTGGCGTCTAGTGGGGAGAAGACGGGGACCTTGCTGCCAGTGTTCTTGCCCTGTCTTCACTCTCCTTCACGGCACATCTACTTTATAAAGTTCTCACTGTCCCCAATCCCTTGTCTCCTTTCTTCCTTTATCCTTCTCCAGTAAGGCTTCCAGTCCTGCTCTGCTATGGAAACTAATTTTATACAGATACACAGTTACCTGTACTAAATCCAGTGGCCACTTTTGCTTCCTGGGAGCTTTCACGCAGTAGACCACATCTCTGTTCCTAAAAACCTTTCTTGTGTTTGGTGTAACCTACTCTGCCCCGTTTTCTTTTTGCCTCACTGGTCACTCCTGCTTCTTTGCTTATATGAACCTCTTCTGTCTGACCTCTACATACTGAGCTGTCTAGAAGTCCCATTATCAGTATGAAGAGTCCTGGATCTTTTTTTCCCCTAAACTCTCTCCTTGAGCATTCTCACTCAGCCTTGTGACTTGACGTAGGATCCGGATGCTGATGACCCCATCCATCACCACCAGCCCTGGTATCTCCTCTGAGGTGTATCTAACTGCCTACTTGACATCTCTGCTAAGAACCAGTAGGGAGCTCAAGCTCAACATGCCTACAGTGGAATTCTTGATTCCTTGCCCCAAATCCTGTTTTCATTCACTTTTTTTTTTTAAGTAAACAACCATAGGTCCCCATTACTTAGGCTAAATCCTCGGTGACATTCTGTTCCTCTGCCCTCTGTTCTCCACTTCATCAACAATTGGCATTCACTCCATCTCCAAAATACAGCCAGGTAACGTCCATATTATTTCTTTTCCACTGGGACATCTGTGAAATAGCTTCTCTACCTCCATTCTTACTCCACACAAAACAACCAATGTGAGCTTTTAAAAATGCATTGCTAAGTGTGTCACTCCACTCTTTAAACTCACAGTTCCCAGTGCAGTTAGAGTAAAAATCATTCCTACTTAAGATGACTCTTTTCCCCACTCCATCAATCTTTAACCCATGTCCCTGGGTTTTTTTTTTTTTTCCTTTATTTCTTAAAAATCTTTTGTCAGTCAACCAGGTATGAAATTATCTTCTTTATCGGCTGATTGTGAGTCCCGAGCCTCCTCCAGAACGTAAAGCTTCATGAGTGTAGGGACCTTGTTTAACCAGTTTGCCACTATGCTCTTAGTGCCGAGAACAGTGTATGGAGTGAGTACTTGGTTAACTGTCTGTTGGTGGAATGAATAAAATTATGTGAGCAGAAGTGAAATAATCTGTGATAAGCTTGTATTGACTCCCAGAAGGAAATCAGTAACTTTTAAAGCTAAATTAAAGCTGTTGAGTTATTCTCTTACCTCTTCTTTTTAAGAGTCTAAACGAGTTAGGGCCTAATCCAATTAGACGATTACATCAAAGTAGAAGTTTTCATTATGGTCCCTCTTGATTTTCATGGATAATATGAAATTCAAAAATGATGATAGAATAAGTAATCTGAGGTTCTATCATATGGATAGTCATTTTTGTCTACATTCCATTATCTTTACAGTTCAAATATGGGTTTTGTTTTGTTTTGTTTTGTTTTGTTTTGTTTTTGGAGCTAGATAGAAGGCTGGAATAAAAGTTCTGCGTCACCTAAGTTCTGACTTCCATCCCTTAGGGAAGACAGTTCAAGGCACTTGTGTTGACACTTACTGAAACTAGCTAGAAACCTTCATTGCCTAAGATCAGAGCTTCCTTTACTCACGTTTGTCCCCAAGTCAACCCTGGATTTCCTTTTATCACTGCAGTGCTGAGGGGCCACTCAGCATAACTGTTCAAGAGGACAGTGTTCTGGAGCAGGAGGTGTGCCCGGTGTCCGTGTATTTGCACCTCTCTGCAAAGGCTCCGCCTCTGGAGATGAGCACTTGGGATAGAGGCATTCTTTCTCCTTGTCGGGAAGAAGAGAAAAGGCTTGAGGATTGATGAGTATGAACCTTGAGTTCCTGCGGGGGCCGGCATGCGGCAAAGACGGTGTCATGTAGATATCTTGTGCATTTCTAGCATCGTAGAGTGTTGGCTGTTTTCTCCCTCGTTCGGGGTTGCTTGCATGCAGTCACTGTAGCTTCTGACATGATGGGACTTGTGTCCCTGGAGGATGCTTAGGGATGATTAGTGGAATGCGGGTAACTCCCTTTCCTTCGTTAACCCTTGACACACTGAGGTGGTCTTAAGGTAACCGATTCCTGTTATTGAGCAAAGACAGAGCGTCACTGCTTCATAAAATGCTAACTAAAAATATAAAGTGAGTTCTCCTTAGATTTCCTTACAGAGAATGTCGTTATTAGATGGTTACTCCAGAAGTTGGTTCTATAATAGGAGTCCTAAAAATGGGATTATATCAGGATCCTAAAATACGATGTTTTCAAGGCTCGCTTTCTGTTGAGGCAGCCAGTAACCAGTCTCACGTTCTGTTTTCCACAGAAGGAGGGGTAATCACTGTAAAGAGCTAAGTACCACCAGGTCTGAGTGCTCTTGGTATGGAGAAGGAATGGCAAAGTCCTCACGCGTTGCTGTGTGTTTTCTTTCCCCTCTCCTCTAGGTATTCTAATCTAATTTTGAACTTGTTTTCCTTGATGGTGGATGCAAACATTCCCGATATTGCTCTTGAACCAGATAAGACTGTGAAAAAGGTAATTTTTATATATCCTCAGATATCGTAGTCTACTCTTCTTACGTAACAAATGTTAGGGTTTTAACAACCCATTTCCCCTTGTCCCGGCCCGTAGACTCTTAAGTAGCGTGGATTAAGAAAGAGACCTCATTTGTGTATATATTTATACGACACCTCTCAAGTCCTGTGCAGCAAGCTTTATCCCCTTCCCTGTTCGCACCTGCAGTCACATGAGTAAGTCACTGTCTCAAGAGAGAAAGCTTACTATCACAGTGCCCCTTGTCCTGAAAAGTTCAGTTTCTCTTTATGTTCCTGATAGATACCTGATTCCTGATACCCCCGGGCCAAGCAGGCTAAAGATCAGAAACAAAATATTGTAATCATATGGAGAAGAACACAGCCGTTCTTTATCCTCCCCATCCATACTGTTGGCTTACAGGGGGTTCTTACTGTGTCAGGAGAGTGGACGCCTGAAGGATAAAGGGAAGCCGTCACATCGATGAACAGCTGTTCAGAACTGTCTTACCCTGAGTTACAGCAAGAGGTGGGAGGAAGGGTAGCAGATTTGAAGATTTTTATTTGGATTAATTTCTGACTTTCTGATTCATTGGGGAGGAGAGTGTATGTAAAACACTTTATTTATCCAAAGGTAACATAAAACGATCTTAAATATCAGTGTGGTTATTAATATTAAACTTCATAGACAGATAGTAACAGCTTTTTAACTGTTGCAGAAGTATAAAGTTGTTAAAGATAGTGTAACTTTTTAATTACAGAAGCCTAAAATTATAATAATCTCAAAGATGGAATTGCCCTGATGGCCGAAATTAGTAATTGGCACCCAAAGCCCTACGTTCTAAGCTGTTGACTCTGAACATTATTAGAAAGATATCTCTGCGGACTGAACATGGCCTTAGTCCATTTGGGCTGCTGTTAAACAAAATTACAGAGATGAAGTGGCTTATAAACAGCAGGAATTTATTTCTCATGCTTCTGGGGGCTAGAAGTAACTGGATTAGCGTGCCAGCACGGTCAGGCGAGGGCTCTCTTCTGGTCAGAGACTTGAATCTTCATAGGGTGATAGGGGAAGCTCTGTGGGGTCTCTTTTTAAAAATTTTATTTTTGTTTTATTTGGGGAGAGGCTATTAGGTTTATATATTTACTTATTTTTAATGGCAGTGCTGGGGATTGAACCCAGGACCTCGTGCATGGTAGGCATGCGCTCTACCACTGAGCTCTACCCTCCGCCCCAGTGGGGTCTCTTTTATAAAAGTGGGCTGATCACATTCAGGAGGGCCCCACCCTCAGGAGCTGAGTACCTCCCAAAGGCCCCACCCCCTAATGCCATCACAGTGGGTGTTAGTATTTCGACTTGGATTTGGAGGGACAACAATGTTTAGATCATTGTAAACATGAAAGAGGCTAACGTCTTTTACCTAATTTCATGAGTCTTTGGCAAGCAATGAGAGAGATTTTAATGTAAAAGTTTGGTTATCTAACAATTTAAGAAACTCCCCCGTCCCCAAACACCAACTAGGAAATGGACTAATTATTACAGTGGTTTTGGGCTTGGATTATTTTTTGTTCATTTAAGCTCGTCCATCAAGAAACGTAATTGGTTGATGACAATTTTCTCAGCTAAAATTGATGGCTGCCCCAGATTTCACATGTTGTTGCCCCTCACCTTTTTTGCATTGCTGTTTTCCAAGTCTGTTTTTTGCTGTTTATTTTAAACCCATTAATCTCTGTCATCTATTCACTCTTTCCTGACTTCACTTGTGTTCTAACAGTGTTTTATCAAACCATGTCTCCCAGTTTCTTCTGCCAGTTATGTGGTTCTTATTCTTGTTAGGTCTTTTGTTTCAACTCTTGTTTCTCTTTTAAACAATCATGATTTTATTGTTTAAGCTTTTGTTACCAGCTGTCTTTATAGTATCATCTTCTAATATATGAAGCAATTTATTGTATGGAAAAAAAGTGCATGCATTAGTCATTTTTCCTTGGATTAGTTATTCTCTAGCTATTTGTTCTAGTTTCAAGTAAGTGAACCTTGAACAAAAGGTATTTCACCATATTCTTCCCCAGAAAGTTATTTCATAAAAGGTTTCTTTGCTTTCTGCTGTTTTCTCAAAAATATGAAGTAACCAATTGCAACATAAACTTGACTTTAAAGTCATAATAATAATACTGAAAAGTGATGCTGTAATAGGCTAAAATTAATTTTTGTTGTTGTTTAATTTTATTTTTTGTGTAGGGGGAGGTAATTAGGTTTTATTTTTTTTTAGAGGAGGTGCTGGGGATTGAACCCAGGACCTTGTGAATGCTAAGCATGCACTCTACCACTTGAGCTATACCCTCCCCCCCATAATTTATATTTCATAGTGGTTGGCTTTTTTTAGAAGTAGATTTCTATACTTTGTGAAATAACAGTTGTTGGCATTACTTAATACCTAGAAATGTTTTGCATTGGCCTCGTGAATGAAAGCCAACTAGAGAAACAGAGTAGCACATTCAAGGCTGAAGTCTTCAGAGGAGCAGATTTTTCAGGTTATCGAAAGTAATCCTAACAAAGTTCAACAATATTTTCCTGTTCCTATAATGTATTTTGGTACATATATATCAATTTCTTTTTAAGTTTTTTGAAACTGACAACTTGTTTTATTGCATTTCACTTTATTGCGTTCTGCAGACAATAATTTTGAAAGTTTGTGGCAACGCTGTCTTGAGCAAGTGTATTGGTGTCATTTTTTTCCAACAACATTTGCTCACTCTGTGTCTCTGTGTCACATTTTGGGAGTTTTCAGAGTATTTCAAACAAAGGGCATCTGCCTTTGAAAGATCGCTGCAGAGGCTGAAATCTGCAAGCTTGTGTTGTAGTCTTTTCCTTGAAGACACTCTCCAGATTGGTTTGGGTGCAGCCTTATTGAGGTGCAAAAGGACAGAGTTTGGAGCTGGTAGGGATAGCCAAGAAGTTAGGGGACAGATTTTGGAAAGGTGAAAGTCACAGTGGTATAAAGTCCCCCTTCCTCTAATCTGCATATAAAATTTTCCCAGATCCTGGCTGAAAGGGAAACTGTGCTGATCCAGTGATCCCAGGGGATGGGGAAGCAGCAGCCAGAAGCCAAAAAAACTGAGCAGTTCCCAGCTGTTGTTCCTCACAGGAAGGACAGATAACTGGATTTGATGCTAACCAAGTTGACCTCCCGCTATAATGATTCTTCACAGGAACACAAGAAAATTCATTCTCTATAATGTATCCAAAATGCCTAATATCTAATAAAAAAATAAAATCACTAGATATGTGATGAAATAGAAAAATATGTGACCCACAGCCAATAAAAAGAAGCAGTCAGTTAAAGAAGCATGTTCAACGTGTTCAAAGGCTTAAGGGAATTAAAGGGTATAATGACTGAACAGATGAAGATCTCAACATAAAAATAAAAGCTAGGAAGGGAAAAAGCAAAACGAAAATTCTAGAGCTGAAAGTATAATAGCTAAAATGAAGTGTTAGCTGGACAGCTTTAAGAACAGATTAGGTCATGGCATTAGAAGGAATCAGTGAATTTAAAGATAAATCAATAGAAATTATAGAATCTGAAGAACAGAGAGAGTGTAGCTTGGAGGAAATGCTTAGAAGCTGAAGGACCCAGGGGACAGTAACAAGTAGCCAACACAAGGCAGCCTATGTGGTACCAAGTCAACCACTTACATGCAGTTAACCTTCTTTGTTGTAAAAGAGAATGTTTTCATGTTTGGTAAATTACATTTTCTTTTTTTTCTTTATTTTTTTTGGTTTTTTGGAGGGGGGAGTAATTAGGTTTCTTTATTCTTTTGATGGAGGTCGTGGGGATTGAATCTGGGACCTTGTGCGTGCTAGGCACACACTCTACCACTGACCTATACCCTCCCCTCTAATAACATTTTCTTTACATGCCAAATATATATTTTCTGTTTGTGATTTAAGCACTTACCTAAGTATGCAAGTGTTGATAAATTGGGTTAAAGGTTTTGGTGGTGGGGGTTTTTTTTCCTGCCCTGTGGCTTTTTGATTTTCTTAAAAATTAGTTTCAGAATTGTCACATGACCTCTCTAAGTAGAAGTCAAGGAATATAAAGAATTTAATGGATTATAATCAAGTAAAATGTGTATCTTTAACTGGGTTCCAGAAATTGGGGAGATAGTTCATTAATACTTTTAGATCTCCATCCACCAATTGTCCTTTGTTTTTTATATCTACCTCTTTCACCTCCTCCGTCCTGAGGCTGCAGGGCTGTCAGATCATCTGGTATACTTCCAATGCAGTGACGAGGAAAAAGCGCTGAGTTGGGGCCATGGGTTGTAGTACTGTCTGCCCTCTCTTCCTAGTTTTACAGTAGTCAAACTCTGTGCTTAAAAGGAAATACTAAATGTGGACCACTTTTTATCCTAGCCTGCCTTTTCTGAAGTGTATATGCTTTGTAAATTCTCTGTGTCTCAGTCTCTGTGTCTTATAGATGGAGATATTATCTCCCTTAGAGCCATCTGAGAGTCAAGTGAAACACTGCCCGTAAAGTGCCTTGCACAGTGTTTTGCACAAAGTAGTCATTCTGTCACACTGGCTTTTGCATTTAGGGAACTATTCTTATCTGTAACCTCTACTAATTTTTCTAGTAATCAGAATGTAAAAAGAGATATATAAAGATCCTTTCATATGTATCTTTTTATGTGAAATAATGAAAAATTCCTCTGTCTTTGGAAATTATAGGCCAGTTGAAGTACTTCTGTGCCAGAAGTATGGGGAACTCCTGTAGGAAGGGGGACACTTTAGAGATCTAGTTTAGTTCATTTTGCCAGTGATGACATGGTTCCTGTCCTTGTGTGGTCCATGAACGTGAGGGAGAATATTCATGTAAGCTCACCTTCCTAAATCCATTTCATAAAGTGAAGACAATTGTTAAGCGTTACATCCCAATTTAAATTTTATGTAGTAGTTCTCACTTTGAAATGCAAAAATAAAAAAGCACACCTTTAAGAGAACAAATTTTATATGTTTTTTTAAATTTGCAGGGCCCAACAATTATATTTTCCATTGACTCTGTTACTGTGTTTCTGAAAAAATATTTACAACCAACAAAGATATAAAGAGCAAATAGCAAAGAAGAAAAGTTCCACATTCAAGAGAATAGTGTTCAGAACTCCATATACATTATGAATCATTTCTTTGGCATAGAAATAGCTTCTGATATATTGTAATCATGTCTATATCTGTTTGTTTCTGTCTCTTTTTGATATGTGTCCATTTTTGTTTGTTCAAAAGACTCATAGACTCTGACCTTGCAGGTTCAGGATAAATTCCGCCTGGACCTGTCTGACGAAGAGGCCGTGCACTACATGCAGAGTCTGATTGATGAAAGTGTCCACGCTCTGTTTGCCGCGGTCGTGGAGCAGATCCACAAGTTCGCCCAGGTAAGTTCTCTGAGGGCAGTGCATTTATCTCCGCTTCTCCGTGTGCCATCCTAGACTCCTCGCAGAACCACGCCTTTCTCCTGCCAGTGGCCCATCGTTTCTGTTTTTTTGGTCAAACCTGTTGACATCTCACGAGCCTTCTGACGTGAACCTGTTTGTGATCCATCAGTAACTCTAAAACGCCCCACTGAAATGTTCTTAGTAACGACTAAATTGTGGAGTGTCAGCACAGGTGTGTTCATGCTTTGAAGTCAGTGCTGACTATAAACTTTTTTTTTTTAATTGAAGTATAGTCAGTAGGAGCTTACGGTGAAAAAGAATATGAAAACAAATATATGTATATTCATGTATGACTCTGAGCCCTTCTTGAGAATGATCTAGACCCAGTCTAGCAGAAGTCTTGACAAGTGAGATGTGGACACTTGTTGGCTTTTGCTGAATGGTGAAGTGCTGGGAAGGGAGGTTAGAAGGGAGGTAAAGCAGTGCAAACAGCACATAGAAAAGGTCTGTCTGGAGACTGACCGCCAGCAGACTCTTCCATGCAAACAACGGAGGGAAGGAGTTTTTACACTAGCCTTGTTGATAAACCTCAGATTTTAAAACCTGTTTTGCCTTTGAATTTCATAATGAGGATTATCATGGAAATGATGAGCGAACAGAAATATGAGGCCACTTTCCTCTCCCAGATCCTAACACGCCTCTCCCTGTGAACACCTTCCTTACTTTACGCATTCAGTTAATAATTTTACTGATCGCCCTAAGCTCAAAGCTTGTCTGTTTTGACTTTTCCCTCACTCAGTAGTATCCAGATTGTCACCAAGCCTTGTGAGCTGCTTTAACCGTTTTCCAATTACTGTTTTCTTTTGTTTTCTCACTACTGCCATTTTAGCCTGGTGGCAGTTCACCTTGCGATGCCTTGGACGACTGAAACTCTTCGTGACTGTTCTCTTCGTTTTCATCTTTTTTCTTCTCTCAGCATTTGATCTTTATTCTACTGAGCAAAATCAGATGTATTTTCACAAAATAATGTTTTACCTTGTTTTGTTTCATTTTTTATTTAAATATGGAAAAATGTTTCCCAGTTGCCTTAATGTGACGTCCAATCTCTAGCCACTCGAGGCCTCCCAGGATGTTTTGTTCTAAGCTTCTTCCTAAACTGTCCCCCTAAAACTCTTTATATTTTTGCTCTCTTCCACTTCTCTGGCTGCTCTGCTGCTCCATTTCTTCAGCCCAGAAATATCCTTCTTCTTAATAATCAATCTTCTCTGAACCCCTGCTTGCCAAAACCCAACCTGTCCTTCCGAGATCTGTTCTTAATGCCACTCTGATTCATCTTCCTCTGAATATTAATAGCACTTTGTACTTCTATTACAAGCTGTACTTACATTTTGTTTCCTATTATAGATATTTGGATACTTGCCTTAAAACCCCTAAAATGCAAACTCCTTGAAGGCTGGGATGTCTGTCAGTGACCCTTTGCACAGTGCCTTTATACACTTAAGAAATATCTAATGAACATAAGGGATTTTTTTTCCTGTAAATGTTGGCCTGTACTCTCTTCCTCACTTAACAAAAAATGTTTCTTCTCTCTGAGCACCAATCTGAGTCATATTTTATTACAAATGCCAACTCATGGTCTACTTCATATGTCATTTATCACAGCGAGTCAGTCCCTAGGAGAGTAAACTGCGACTCAGGTAGTAGGTAAGTGACTTGTCAAAGTCACCCAGCTAGCTAATGGTAGATCTGACCCACATATAGCACAGCAGGATGTTTCAGAGCCATAGGGGAAAATCCCAGAGAAGTATGACTTAGCCAAACTTCATGTGTCTTAACAAGGGACAGAACCAAGACTCATGCCCAAATCTTTTGACCCCCACATCCAACCAGTGATGAACTAAGGTTGTTTTCTGGCTTATCAAATTCACATCTTCTTTATCAGAATCCCATAATCTTCTTATTTTTTATTGAGGTATAGTTGATTTATAATATTATGTAAGTTTTAGGTGTACAGTGTAGTGATTCACAAGAATCCCATATTCTTTATTCTAAGAAATGAACCTGCAGATTCTCATACTGTTTTTAGATTTCTTTAAATATGTCACCTGTGCTATTGTACAATTGAAACAATATTAATAGAAGAGTAACCTAAGGATATTAAATTTCATTGGAATTTACTTAGGCATTGAAGGGTACTGGAGATACTAAACCAGGTCTTAACTTCACACAAGTCTCTTCAAATTATACAATTATAAAAGCATAGTTGTTTGTCACCTAATCTCTGAGGACGTTTATTTTCTCTTTGAAACTCACATTCCTTATATATATATTTTCTAAGTATTGGTACTAATAAGTCACACACACTCTCAAATTCTGATGACCAACATTTTTTTTTTGGTCACTCAACAGTATTTATTATAAGGATGCATATTGCTAAATGATGCATGCTAATTTTTGTGCATTAATCACTATGGATTATAGAACCCAGTTTTTAAATAATGCAGGTAGACAGATGCATGTTAGTCAAAGTTATAGTTGTTTCTGCATGAAAGAAATCATATTCTGAAAAATGACTAAAAAATTGCCAGATACAACTATTTTGCTGAAATGCTGAAAGGACTCATTTTATTCCATCATGCCATTTGCAAGGAAGGGTAGAGATTAAATACTGCAATATTTGTTGCCTAGCAACACCCATCTATTAGTGGTACAAATTTGCCACTGAAAAACACTTTTCTTTGGGTCATTGTCTTTGAAATTGCTTCATCAGAACTCTTCTTGCCGTTGAAATTGTCTTTATATTGCTTTCTAGTTTTGTTTGCGCCATAAGTAGAGGTCACTTAGTTTGGGGCACTTACTGCTCTAAACTGTACCTTTCAATGGAAATCTCTCCCACTGCAGCCCATTTCTTTCCAGTTTCAACTTTTTCCTGTCCGTCTGTCGCTATACTGATTACTAGTAGAATTCTGGAGAATGGGAGTGTGGTGTCCATTAATCTCATTACATATTAAATCTAATTAAATGAAGCTTGATAGATTAACTAGGGTTAGAGATCTGTTTTTTGCACACTAAACATAGAATATTGAGAACAGATTGGATTCAGAAATTTTACCTAAGTCCCAGCTCAGGATACTAAGAATGTAGCACTGCCATCCGTTTGGCAAGAACTCTTCCTTGGTCCCTTTGGTGTTCAAGGAGTTAAGAGCACAGGTCCAGGCAGAGGGTCACATAAATGTGTGGTCCCTTCCTCTTCACCTTTGACTGAAGAGAATCCAGCTACACACACACACATACACACATGCACACACTTAGACTTTGGAACATTAAAAAAACAAACAAACAATGAAAGGAGGAAAATTCTATGTTTATTATGCCTGACATTTCCCCTGAAGGACAGTGTCCTCTAATAAATGTCAGGGTCTCCCTCAGAAGTGTTTGAGATCCCAGGTTCCTCCCATGGCATGATATGACCACTCTGAATGTGACTGCAAGCACTGAAGGTTCTCATTTCTCTGCTACAACGTGGCCTCTGATTTCAAGCCATCTGCCCCGTCTGCTGCGCAAAGAAATAGATTTTTTGTATCAGCACTAGAGGAAAGGTTCCTATTTTGGGCTCTTTGAGAGATGACTGTCTCTAAGGTGTTCCCTTCTGAAGAGCTTTTCTTGAGTAATTTTGTCTATTTATATTCCTGACTTACCTTCATATACTGTTCTCAGTACTTAGACCCCGTGTGGGATGTTTCCACTGCAACCACTCTGCTCTCTCATCGGCTTGCAGAAGACCTAGATGCAAAAGATGCCCTAGGGAGAAAAGAAGATAGTATTTTTCTTTGAAGTCTTCAGCAGAATTGATTCATTTGAAGTTTTCTTGGTTTTATTTTTGTTTTTAAAAGAACCATCATTTCTGATTTTACATCATACGGACCTTATTTTACCATTAGGAGTAATGAGCAGCAGTGTGAAATATTTTATTGAACAAAACAAACAGTATTGAGCTTGAGGGCCAAATAGAAAGTCTTCTGCTCTGAAACCAAGTGTTTGTTAATTTAGCGAATTAATTTTCTAAAGAGTCAGATGATTCCCAGACCACTGGCTTAAATAACATAAAACCAGAATATCACACAGAACAACTTTGTGTCCCACATTTATTCCTAATACACTGGAGCTATCCTGGGAGAAATAAGAACAAGAAACAAACAAGAGTATCAATAGTAACAGCTTGTTCGTTACCGAGTCTAAACTCGTTCTGCTCGCTGCACTACAGGCCAGTGAATCAGGAGACAAGGTGTTGGGGCAAGGAATAGTGACTTTTATTCAGAAAGCCAGCCGACTCAGAAGATGGCAGATTAATGTCCTGGAGAACCATCCTACCCAAGTCAGAATTAAGGCTGTTTTTATACTAAAAAGCGAGGGGGGGTGTTGCAAACTTTGCTGTAGGAATTCTTTGTTCTAGCAGCCGTCCATGTGGGGTCAGGTCATGGTGCCCCTGTAAACCTCCAATAAAACAAAGGTTATTTTCTATTTTGCAACTTGTTATCTTTGTATCAGTGCAGAAGTGTTAACATCCTTAAAGGTCAGAGCCTTGAGAATAGGCTCTCCTGTCTATTTCAGGCAAAAGGCAACATTCCTTTACAAAAGGTGCAGAGCTGGCAAGACTGAGCCTAGAAAACAGGGCACAGGGTTAAAGCCAAAGGAATAGATCTAATATGGAGTCAGATTTGTTATTTTCTATTACGTGTTGAACACTTAAATGTGCCAGGAATTATGTAAACTTGTTGTCTGCAACACCTTGTTTAATCTACACACCTGTGAAGAAGGTGTGTTTGATAGATAAGAAACCTAAGCCTTAGACAGGTTAATTATCTTGCCCAAGGTCTTAAGGTTAATAGGTGAAAAAGTCCAGATTCAAACTCAAACTTTGGGTTGTAGAAATAGATAGTTTCTAGATAATATTTTTCTCAATATACATCTAAGCCTTAGCTTATTAGATATGAATAGATTGTGTAGTGAGTCACGAGCTTTTAAAAATAGACTTGCAAATTTAAAAAATGATCTTTTAATTTTCTCCCCTTCATCTTTCATCCAAACATCAAAAGAAAAAAAAACGAGCCATGTGAGTAGCCAATAGTATATGATGTAAAAAGGAATCATTGGAAACAGTTAATCCCAGATAAATATGACAAATACGGGATAAAACTTAATTTTGCACATTAGCCAAAAACCAGTCTTGAATTTTACTGAGCACATGTGTTCTCTTGTTGCATTGCAGTCAGCAATGCTACCCATTAAAATCCATGATGTTTAGAAAATATATTCTAAGTCCTTGCTACATTACAAATGTTTTAAGGTCTTAAGGTGAGTTAATTATTGTCATAGCAGCAGTCAGCGTAATGCCCCATAACTTTCAGCTAAAATTCCCTGCAGTTTATTTTTCATCCATACAAGTGTTACTCCCTTATCGTCTCTAAGGAAAATTTTCAGACACCTGAATATAATCCATGGTTAAGATTTACCCATTTGCTTCACTATCTGCTTTCAGTAAGATTATTTATTATACTATATGTTGTTTTCCTGCCTCTCTGTTGTATCAGACTTTTATGTAAATTATTCAAGTGTGAAGGGACTTGAGTATTTTGGGACTGGCTCTGTTCCATAGTATTACTGACCCCCGCCACCCCATCCCACCCCTCATGGGCACAGACACTCAAAGTATTTAAGAAGTATATCAGAGGCTGTCTGTTTAGTAGTAGCATTTTTATCACATACAAACATAGGTGTGGTTTTTATTTCTTTGCAGAACCATGTACATATTATGAGAGTTCTGGAGGAAATTTATGTTGAAATAGTAACACAATTTAGTCTTCAAGTTTGAAATAATTTAGACTGCCTAACATGTCAGAGCCTTCCACAGTTTGGCTTTAATCTGCATTTTCAACTTTCTCCATCTTCCACCAGCCTTCAGAAGGAACCTTCTGTGTAGCTCTCCTGATTGACTTCAAGACAATTCCCATAACCGTATTTCCAGCACCTCCCCCGCTCCCCAAGCAGTACATCTTTGCTCTTTGCCTGGAACAAGTTCCCCACCCATTTGCCCACCTTCCATGTATGCGCCATGGTGTGATGACTCTTTCTGGTAGAAGGATTTTGTCTTAAGTAACTTGGAGTCTCCCACAGAGCCTAAACTGTTCCTGATACAGCGTAGTGACCAAATTAATGTGTCTGGTTTTACATAAGTGCCAAGGACCATTGAGAAGTTTGTTTTCTCTGGTACTGCCTTTGAGAAGAGATTTAAGCAGCTTCTTAAGTTGTAAATTACATTCTTTTTATTAGCATTAAAAATAAATCTTAGCATATTCTTTCTAGATTTGCCACTTTATGTGGTATCAGATTAAAATCAACATATTTCATATTTATACACACACACAACATGTTTGTCAGCAAGGTTCTTCTTCCTTCACATCTTCTCTGAGTAATAATGAGTTGAAGTTCATTGAAACAAAGTTCCGTTGCACATAAATAGGATTGTTAATTTCTCCACGATGAGGCCAGCATATGTTTGATTGGATCAGAGGGTACATGAGATGTGGATGACTCGGTGTATATTCACCCAAGCAGAACGATCGGAGTTATCCTTACTGAGACAATGGGTGATTATTCATGTTAAAGACAACAGCTATTAACGGTTGCACATGGTTTTGAGATAATTGTGAGGGTGCCTAGCACAAAGCAGGTACTAAAAATGTTGCTATCTTTTATGTCTACTTGATATTTTAGTACCAAACACTGTTAATGTATTGGCCCCCAAACAGCACATGACTAGGCCTTTCTTGTTTTTTCAGGACTACTTCCTTTTTTTTTTTTATTTCTAGACCATTTCTATGGTGCATTGGCTGCACTCTGTGGAGTAAATTACAGGTTTTCACAGTCCCTAAAAATGTCGCATGGACCAAGAACTTAGCTTACTACTAAAAATATTAATCATCTATCACTGAAGAATTTAGTGAGATTTTTGCCTTCCTCGTGCTGGATTCGTCTGTCATGTAATAGTGGGGTCATCTTGAGCTTACATTCAGCAAACATTCCCTCCCCCAAATATTTTCTCATATAAACTGATTTTTAAGCTAAGCCTTAGGCATCCTGTACATTGTAATTAATTGAAATCCTCTTCATGGCATGTAGTAAAGTAATTATTTCCCTTTTTTTGTTTAATTGTAGACTGGAGTTAGCTGAATTTCTTTTTCCCCTCATGGGTCATCTCTTTCCAAGCAGTTTTTTGAAACTGTCGACTGTTGTCTATTTTTCTTTGTGAATAGTAAAGCGAATTATCTCCTATTTGTTTGTTTTTAATTTTTTATAGTACTGGAGAAAATGAAACTGGGTTTGGCCCATCAAGATGCTTGTCTCTGTAAGAAAACTATGTTAAAAGCAACCTGTTATATGATGAAGACTTCAGACTAACAAGCACGGAAGAGAACATTTCATCTTCAAGATGCCATATGTCCGCATGTGCCTCAGTTCTGTTTCCTTGGATGTTACTGCTTAAATAGGTCTTGAACGGTTTGTTTTGAAATACTGTATATATTTATTTTCAAATGTATACATTGTTAATAAGCTAAGAAGGAAGACGCTGCTTCCAGAACCATGTACATATTATGAGAGTTCTGGAGGAAATTTATGTTGAAATAGTCAAACAGTTTAGTCTTTGAGTTTAAAAGTCCTTTTTCCCTTCATCTCTTCGCATCAGGAGAGCAGTTATATGAATTTGGATTAATTCTCTGTTTTGGTATTTTGCTTTCTCTCTCTCTCATTCCTTTTCTCTGTTATTTCTTCTCCCCTTCCCCCAGTTGTTTTCTTTTCTTTTTTCTCTTGTTTCCCCCCCCCAATATACAATACTTAAAATTTTACATGTTATGGCCCATTCTTTCACACTTTGAGAATTGTGCATATTTCAAATAAGATGGTCATTTTCTGTTACTTAGAAATACTGTTTTTTTGTTTCTGTTGTCTTGTAGTTCACATTTCTCCGAGGTTGTAAGTACATATAGCAAGTCCTAAAAATACAGCTCTCTGAATAATTGTCCAAAAGCTAATATGACAGCAGCTTTTTGTATTGAGCCTAAGATATTTTTATGTGCAAGCATAAACTGTCTTTCTGCAGTAATTTTTTATGAAAACCTAGTTTTTAAGAGCATTTGAAAATCGCTCCCCTAGACTTGTTAATATAACATATCCTTTCTGATTAAAGCAAAATGATTTTTGGTCTTTTAAGACTAGAAGTCCCACTAATCCATCTAGCTCTCTTGCCTCATGGAACTTTGGGGAGAAGGAAGACACACAAATGAGAAGAGCAAGGCGGTGGTGATTTTTGCCAGTCAATGTGTTGCATAGTCATGTGACTTTGTTTGGAAGGTAAATAATATCTCATTCTTGTGGTGCTGAATAAAAAGATTAAGAAGGTTAAATTAAGGCAGAGTTTTGGAGAATGCCATTAATTACAATGTTTGCTACCAAACTCAACTCTGTGAGTTTACCTCTCCAGAATGAGGTTTACCAGCTGGAAGGCAAGCATATATTAAGTGATGGTCATAGAGGCAAATGGATTGTGATTTGTATAAAACATCCATGCAGATGAGAAAAATGGTAAAAATGAAAAGACCTCTGCAAATATCATAAGAGAATGTGTGCCCAAGCTAAATGGCAAGCTCCATCCTCTTATTTTGCTTTTTCTTTGCTTTCCGTATTTACATCATTTTTTTTCCTTAGCTGTTGGTAACCCGCCTGCATTCTTATTCTTTTAAGTCCTATTTCTGTTGGTACTTTGTCCAAAAGGAATGGCCCTGTTGAGAGTGACCACTCCAGCTTTCTGAACTTTCTGAATTCCTCATTTGTAGCTCTTTAACTGGTACGTGGTAAAGTGGGGTATTTTGGGGATAGCCGCATCTCCTGTTTCAGAAGTTGGCAGACTGTTTTCTGAAAAGGGCAAAGATAGTAAGTACCTTTTGCTTTGGAAAGCATATGATCCAGTTCACAGCCCCCCAACTGTGCTGTATCAGTAAAACAGCCACAGAGAATAAGTAATCAAACAGCATGGCCTGATTGGACCTCAGGCCATAATCTGCTGATCCCTGTTTGAATCAGCTGTCGGGCAGCGCGGTATCATCTGTCTTCATAAACTCCATTATACTCGGCATGGACGGTAGCATGATTTATATGTATAACATGCTCTATAAGTAATTTTTGGAGCAGTATGAAATTGTACAAGGGCAAACCCTGACAACCAGTAAGGAGGGTTGATCCTGAGTAACCTTGTATTCAGTGCAGACTCAGTAGGGATTATGGGGGAGACGGCTCCCTAGGAAGGCAGGCAGGTGTCGACCGAGGATGGACAGCAGCTTTGGTTTCGCTGAGAGCGTTTTGGCTGCTGGCAGTGAGCCATCATGGGAAGAAAAGTGATGCGTTGGTCTCTGTTGCTCAGAGCAACCTCTGTGCTCCTGCTGTTTCCCCAGCTCCCATTCTTTCATTGTTTAGAGTTTCTGCCTTTACCATTTGTCTCTGTTTTCCTTTACTGTCATTGCATTCAGATTCTTTGTCAAGTTTTATAGTCTTTTCGAGCACAGTGCTTGCTTTGAGTTTAGACAAAGTATGTGTGAGGACGCATTGCCCTAATTAAAAATTGCAAGTGCCGTGGTCATGTACTCTGGAGTCTTCAGAGTGGATCTCTGAGCTGGAGAGACATTGTGGGTGGCAGCCACGGAAAGCGGGGCCATCAGAAAGACATCAAGTGTGGGCCACGGCCCTAAATTAAGGCATTGATGCAGCCTGATTTTTGCTAGTCTCTGTATAGAGTTAGATGTTCCCCAGCTTTTTTGTATTACAGAGTTTTCAGGTGCGTATATATTGTAATAATAATAGTCAACGTGATTTATAAGGGCTTACCATTACATGTCAGGATTATGCTAACTGCTTCAGTGCCTTATCTCACTGTTGTGTGTAACAGCCCTGTGAGACAGAACCGTCTCCCCATTCTTCAGAACTTTAAGGCCATTGAATCATCCGCCCACAGTAAGGCTGCAGAGTGAGAGCAGAGTTGGGATCTGAAGTTGAGTTTCTCAGATTCCAGTGGTCACAGGCTTGACCATCAAATCCTTCCGGCCTTTGTTTCTCATGTGGTGATAATACTGACCCCTAGTGTGTGTGTGACTGTGGCTCATTAGACTGGAATCTCCCCAAAACAGGCTGTTCTTTACTTACTTTTTGTCATAAACAGGATTACTGGGATCGTCAATAAATTCTAGAAATTTCTAAGAAACTGAGTTGTGTGTCATCATGCCACATGTTCATACATGCCTTGAAATAGGAGATAAGTTCCTCAGTAAAAACATACAGGGACAAAATAAATCTGAACCATGCAACAGTTAACCCACAATCATCATGCACTTTATATTTTTGCATATAGACCTAACATTGCAATTTAAAAATAAATAAATAAACCAGATTGAGACTCAGGAAGGTTTGGTTTTGTTTTTTTTTTTTTTTTTTGGAGGATAAATTTCAAAATCAACATGAATTTTCTATAATACAGAAAAAAATACTGGTCTTTCCAAATGAATAATTTGATGTGTTAACACATCATTATATAGAATGCATACCACCTGGATGGGATCATGGCACAGGAAAGGGACATTAGCTAAAAACTAAAATCTAAAGTGTGGACTAATTTAAAAAAAAAAAATGGAATTAGTGGTCTCAAAGTATAAGGCAGTTATACTTTGTAGAAAACCCCACAGTTCTGAGTTTGTCTAATTCCCCTCAAGAGATGTTCATTTTTGGTAGGAACGCTTCAGCATGTGCTGTGTGTTTTTCAGAGCATCCTATCAGATGTCAGTTCGTCCATTTCCTGGTGGTGGTAGCTGTCCTTACTCGGTTACTGTGTGTTTTCCAGCTTTCTTCTTTCTGAAGTTAGTTTTTGTTTGATACTTATAAAGTAGCAATTCGTAAGTGTTTTATGAGGAGGTGCTTTGAAACTGTGTAAGTAGCTGGTTCTTTACCGCAGTTTTACAAAACCACCAATTTCAGCATAAACTGCTGATTCTTGCCTGAATCAAGTATTACTGTGGTGAAAGCCACGTAGTGATTTTTTTTTTAGTTCCATTATTATTTCTACACTTGTTAGTGATCTGCGCTTAGGTAGAGCTCGCCTTTCTCCATTAATTATTTTTCCATATATATATATATATATATATCCTTTTCCTTATATTAGTATGGACTCTATGTGTTAGGTAGGTAGGTAAGTGGGGGCACTGGCGGACAGGTGGAGGAGAGGGAGGGTGGTCCAGACGGTGGCGATACGCCCGCCCCCAGCATAAAGGGGCTTTACTTCCCCCAGATGAGTGCCGGCAAGAAACCGGTTAGAGCAGGGCAGCCAAGACTGTACAGTAGCAGAAAGGACTTAACTGGACACGACCAGTTCTGTACTGTACTGTATTGTATGTGTTACAATTAACATTGCGGTGTAGCCGCCATCCCCTTGGCTTTCCGAGTGTACACCACGGGTCAGGACGTGCACAAAGGGGCCAAACGACTACATTCAGGGACAAGAGCCATCAGTCAATCAAGAGACCACCTGTAAGTGAGGGTATAAGGGAAAGAGGAGACCAGAACTGCCTCTTCCCCCCTTAGAGCAGCCCGCACCCTGTTCTTGGAGGCGTTCTTCTCCATTTTTAAATAAATCTTTTAAAATCTTTCACTACACAGTGCATCGTCTCCCGACTGTAAACGTGTCTTTCGGGTATGACAAAAATCGGGCCCTTTATCTTTTGGGGTGACATGTGGACTCCTTACTTAATTTTATTATAGAATGCATTCCTGTCATCACTTATTTTGTCGGTAAAATTGCACCAAAACTGACCTGTCTTCAGCCCTGCCTGTGTCCCCTGACGTGGCTGCAATATTCTTTGAGGCCTCTCTTGCTTTTCTGGCATGAAAAGATGAGCCAGGCTCATCTTACACTTTGTCTGCCCACCCCCACCCCCCAGAGTCAGCCGTTTCTCTAAGGACTCTTGGTTCTTTTTTCTGGTTCAATTTTACCATAAAACTTCCCAAATAAAGTATCTGACTTTTCTAAAATAGAAGCTATTGTAGCATCCCAGTATGGCCATTCTAAACCTCTGGAGTCTAAACAGGGGGTATAGCTATAAATAAACTTAAAGTAGAGTAACTCATATCTGAATGAATCAGAGAATTGAGCTGTTTTCTCCAGTTCTAAGCTTTAGGTTGTCACCACCACTATCTTCCTTGAGACCATCAGGATTAATCTTACTCTGCCCTTTGTGTCTGTTTTGTTAGCACAAGAAACCCAGACCTCCCTGAGTCATCCCTCAGTCCCTGGCCTCTGATTCACATACGGCTTTACAGCCCCGATCTCCCAAAGCTCTGGAGTTCTGGGACCATCATCAACAGAATCTGTCAAGTGTCCACTTTTAGGTACTGCACACGTTTTTTTCCCCTGTTCTCTCTTTTCAAAAGAAAAATAAAACCAAGAAAGTTAGTTTAAGGAATTCAGTAAAGTCAACTAAGAAGTATCTCAAAGTATATCCTAAAGTCTGTAGGCCAACTGTCTACACAGCACTAAATAATTACTGTTGTGTTCGTAATCATGACCCTTTCGAGATTACTGGTCGTCAAAGAAAACCAATGGTGTTAATTTGAAAACTGAATATTGAACGGTTAGTATAATGCCTAGCTCATTGTGTTTCAAGTTGAGGGAGAGAATGGTTGATTCCCAGTTAACAACATTAATAGAAAAGACGTTCCTTCACCAACTTTTTTTTCTCCAGAAATTTTAATTTATTTATTTTACAAGCCAGATGAAGGCCCATTTAATCTCCCAAAAGATGGGTTTCTGCATAATAGTATCAAGAATTCTACTCGTCCTCCCCTAAGTAAATGATCAAACCATTTAGACTGCAGTAGCCTGAGTGTGGAGGGGTTTTCTTGTTTGTTTTTTGTTGTTTTGTTTGTTTGGTTTTTGGTTTTTGTGTGTGTGGTTTTTTTTACTGGTTTGGTTTTCTCTTTTTTTTGTATATACCAACTTTTTTTTGTATATACCAACTTTAATTTTAGTTTCAATTGTCTGGCTCTTTGATCAAACATTTTTTTAAAAAGCTGATCAAAAGAGATCTAAGTTTGACGTTAAAAAAAAAGCACGCATAACATAAACAGCATACAAAGCTGCATTTCCATCCCTAGGTGTTTACCCAAAAGAAATGAAAATGTGTCCACAGAAGACTTACTCCTAGCATGATTCATAATAACCACAAAGCGGAACAACTCGAATGCCCATCCGCTGATGAATGGCCAGACAGAATCTGTATTCTCATACAACAGGACACGACTCATCGCTAAAAAGGAACTACTTACATTGCCCCAATATGGATGAACCTCAAAAATACTATGCCAAGTGAAAGATGCCAGACACAGAAAAGACGCTTAGACCACGTGTTGTAAGCTTCCGTGAACCAGAAGAGGTAAATTTTCAGAGGCAGAAAGCAGATCAGAGGCTGCCAGGAGCTGGGGGTGAAAATGGGAATTGAATGTTAAGGGACGCTGAGGGAACTTGATGCAATAATGGAAATATTCTAAAACGGGATTTTGGTGATGGTTGAACAGCTATATTGACTAAAAACCATAGAATTCTGTTTATGACATTCGGTGTATCTCAATAACACCAGTTTTAAAAAGAGATCCGAAGCAACTCGAAGTCTAAGGCCAGGTGACAACGGCTGTCCCATCTCACGGGAACCAGGCAGATGTGGCTTGAGACACCTCGAAGAGATGCTTTCTCGGCCACGTGCACCCACGCGTGTCCACCTGGACATCACCTCGGTGTCGCCACCTTTGCCTGCCCGGGAGCTGCTGCCCTGTGATGGGGCCTCCGGTCCCCTGGCAGACGCCTGCTGTCCCGAGCCCTGGGAAACGGACACGGTGCACGTTTCCTGGCTTCCTGCCGGGGCTGGTGGTGGGGCCCCTCCAGCCCAGGTGCTGCAGGGGGAGGAGAGGCGCCCACGGAGCGGAGCCGTGGGCCCGGGTGCGGGGGCGCACGTCTTTAACAGTCAGCCCAGCGCCACAGGATGCCACGTCCAGGTGCGACAGGAAAGCCAGATCGATGCTCTGGGACTGTTGTAACTCTTCTTCTCGGTGCAGGCGGGGAATTAGTGTCCCATCCCAGAATACATGCTAGGAATGCCCACTTAACTGCTGCAAGCAGCCACCGTCCGCTGCTCGGGAGAGCTTCCACCGTACCACCAACAGGGTTTCCTTTTCTGCACATCCTTACCAGCAATCGTTGTCTCTTGCCTTTTTGTTAAAAGCCATCCTAGCAGGTGTGAAGTGATACCTCATTATGGTTTTGATTCACCTGCACCTCTTTTAGCTTCACACACTCCTGGGTTGGGTCATTTTCTCCGAGGACCAACAGCTGCACTTGAAAGAGCTCACTGCTTCAACCACCCACCTTACACCGATCCTAGGTCACCAGCCTAAACTTTGATTCCCTCAAGGATACATTACTCTGAGGTCCTCACTGTCCTCCCTGTCATTGGGCTTTTAGGAGACACTTGCCCCCATCCCATAATCTCTGAATCTCAGAGAGGAGTTGCAACAAGGTACTGTTTTTTTAACACAATCCTTTGAGATCCTCATGCAAATTGCTCCGTCTGCTCTCTCCAAACTTTGCGTGCAGAGACAGGGCTAAGAGAAGACGGCAGCTGCCTAAGTCAAGCCAAAAGTCCCCTCCCTTCTTCTCCACAGGACGCGTTCCTTCCTGGGGTACATCGGTGTAGCACAGTGGTTATAAACATAGGTGCCCGAGCCAGAGTGCCTACATTCTAACTCTAGGCTTGCGCGTGTCTTGCCTGGAGGACACTGAGAAAGTTATTTAACTTCTCTATAACACAGTTTAATTTTCTTTTCTTAAAAAATGGGACAATAATAGAATTTCCCTCATAAGGTTGTGAGGTTTAAATAAATTATTCCATGTAAAGGGCATGTAACAATGCTTATACTAAGCATTATGAAACAGTTCTCTATTATTAATTTTTTTTTGAAAGTGGATAAGAAGGAGACATTTATTCAAGTACTGATTTAATGAGCATTTATTGTGTGCTTTGCACTGAGGGTACAGTGGTGAATAGGACAGACATAGTTTCTACCTGCATGGGTCTTATAACTTAATGAGAGAGTCAGACAATAGCCAAGCATATAAGCAATTAAATGAATATTTATAAAGTGTAATTTGAAAGCAATAACTGTGCAGTGAAGGAGGATATGAGAGTAACTTAATTTGGGTATGTAGTCACCAAGGAAAAGTTCTCTGAGGAGTTGGTACTTCAGCCAAGAACAGATGGGTCAGAGGATCTATCCGTGACACAGTAGGGAGTCTGGGTGACAGAGGAGCACTTCAGTCAGAGAAACAGCAGGTGCAAGGACCTCGAACCA